GAAGGTTTCAAAACAGGTTTAGAAGGTTACTCGAAGTGATGTTGGGACAGAGAGCAAGAAGTAGCTTTGATAGTGTTTCGGCAAATACATTGCAGATCATTCCAATGCCGCTGTCACTGATGCTAGATCTGAAATAAAGTAATAGCATTGAGGGGACATTTCACTTCTCAGCCAAAGTAAAAATAAATATGGAACTCCCACATTCAGCACAGTTTTCCTTGTGCAAAAATCTAAAGTAGAACTAGAATCTATTATATAGAGTTCACGTTGCCAGGAAAATTGAGGTCAGACAATTGAAATTTTCAACTCCATATTCAACAATCATAAAAGTACCAGCACCAAGGCCTGAAACATACCCACTCAAATCAAGCAACTCCAGATTTGAGTAGCTTGAAGCAATAGCTGCAACTGATGCATCAGATATCTCTGATCCCAGTACAAGAGAAAGCATTCGCAATCCCCTGAATATAGACATAACAAATTTTTTCAATCAAACTCCCAATCATTGTTTAATTTGCTTCATAATCATAAACTTTGCAAATCTCCTACTTTTTAATTTTAAAAAGGAAGTGCTCATGGAATCACATACAAACAGTAATACTGACCTCAAATTTGCAGCTGTAAGAGCAAGCACCACAGAATGTGAAAGCCGAACAGAAGCAATGTGGATATTCTGTAGCTTTGGGCAGCTTCTTCCCAAGCCATCAACAATTGTGGTAAGGTCAGTTCTATCATTTGCTTGCCGAGAAAAACTCAAGGAAATCTCCTTCAAATTCGGGCAGTTGAAAACCTGGGCAATAAAACAGGAACCACGCCATCATGAATAATATATAATAAAATCAGAATATAGAAGTGGTTGCAAACTCAGAACACAGTGAGAACTGCAATACCATCTTAGAGAGGGAGTGAAGATCTGAAAGCCAAATGGTAGACAGACTGGAGGAAGAAAAACTAAAACCACCAAGGTTACAGCAGCCTTCCATTTTGAGACTGGTTAGGCATCTTTTCTCAGAAATTAAACGGCCTAACTCATCCCTGCACGAGGTCATATGTTTGAAACTTATTTTTTCCACAACAACTATATAACAAAAACAATTATCCTATGACAAATTAAGCCATCTATGGTATCAATGAAAAACAAAATTAACGACCCAATTTTTTATAAGAGATTTAAAGGATTTGTTTTCCAAAGATTTACAATTCTTCTGTGCAGTAATGAAAAAAATTTCTAATAAGCTTTGAGTAAATTACACATATATGAACATCAGTTGTTACTAAGTACCTTGGCCTAAAAGAACTACAACTAGATAAAGAGCGGCTGGCATTTCAATACCGAGCAAGGTGAAATTTCATTTCTATAAACCACGGAGCACAAAGTCATCGAAACAACTAGAGAAACTTCAACATCTACCCCCGATATATACAAAAATATTTCAGGGGAAAGTCACTGGTGTTCCACAGGTAGCAATCTAAAATTAACGACGCCACTATAACATGTACATCACCATACAATTCCACATAGTTATGTGTCTAGATTTCTTAGCACTCAATAAAAATTAACGCTAACATTCGACCAAGGAGTAGTTGTATTCATATTCACTCATTTGTACATTGTTGGAAATATATCACGGGGTACTGCTCTAACACCACTTGATGGGAAAATATTTAGACCCAAATGTGCAAAATTAATCAATAACAAGCAACAAATCACTTTATTATTGTTTCAAGATGATGTAATTAGTCCTATTAACCCTAAACTTAAAAAAAAATCATATATAACCCTTAACTTAAAACAATCATATATATTCAGATCAAAAGCAATAAAGTAAATGACACCAATTATGATCGAGGACGAAAGCACCTTGAAGAACTCGTCATATGAACAACAAACATTCGGACGAACTTGTCAATATAATCCACTAGAAAAGCTAACATTAATTAGCCCAGACACCGCTAAACCTTAGTTAACTCTAGCCACCTAACTCATAAATCATCAAGAAACTCCTTTAGTTGTGTGACCTGCACTTTCCGAGAACTCTAAACTACTTTTCTCTCAGTGTGAACCATCAAAAATGAAATCGTTCCGGAGCGCTAGAACTCCAAGTGCCTCTTTTCCAATCTTCAAAACTCTGAAGGCCTACAGGTGAAGATAGAATTTTATGTGGTGTTTGATCAAAAGATCTTCTTGTGTTTTGATATGTAGATGAGGCAAGAGATTTATGGATATATGAATTTGAACTTCAATGTATATATTCTTTTCAATTAAAACAAGGCTCAACCAATGTAACAAGGTTTGGGATGAATTTATGAAAAATAAATCAACTAGTTGAATTTAAAAATCTTTGAAATTGTTATTGACCTTCAAGAATGTGATCTTTATAATGAAGTGTGGGATGATCTCGTACCTTTGGGCCGAACTAGACTTAGGTACTTACAATATGAAGTGTTAAAGATAAATAGGAGTAAAAAATATGTTCAAATCGCGAACAAAATTCTACCCTAAAAAGCCTACCAATCAAGCGCCTTCCCCACGGCCAAAGAGCGATCTCTGAGCGGTTATCAGTATTTTCATAGTATCTTTCTCTTTCAATATTGGATTGATGCAATTCAAAGTACGTTGAAAAGCTAATCAAAGGGCTACAATTCTTCTCGAAGGAGTATGTTTCGAATTCGAATGTTTTCTATATGAAAAATGCATCGCAACTTGTGACCGAAAATTTGGAACGTGACTTGTGCTGCACTTAGACAATACTTCGCCTTCTAAATGCATCACATTCATCATATGTGATCTTTTTGAACATCTTTGACCTCTTTGGCTCTTGGATCTATACTATCAACCTATAGACTTTTTAACTTTAATTACAACTGCATTACTTTAATTTTGTTTTAAAAGTAGCCAATTACAAATAGAGACCTAGCCCCTATTTGGGGGGAATTAAAATCAGATCTTTAATAAATTTTGGTAAAAGTTGTTAAAATATGTAGATGAAAAGATGTGGGCCCTATGAGCCT